CTTGCTTTATCAACACTGGCCCAAGTCCTGAACTGCTATCATTGGCCAACATGCCTTTCTGGCATCATTCTCCTGTTTGTTTGTAGCTTTCTCATTTATTGTTTTATAAATGCTGTCAAACTTTGGTGACTCTTGAATACTCATCTTTGCAAATACTTCTTAGGTCCCTATACTCATCCAAACTATACTCTTTACCCCAGCCTCATGAGTCAAATTCTTGGAGTCATGCTCTGATCTCTTTCCTAATAAGCTCTGGAACAACAGCAGAGGCCACCTATGATTAGAGAGCATTACTGTGCTTGCTAGAACTAGATGATAGTTGCTGTGGGCATAGCAATAGGGAAACCCCAAGTCAGGGCTGTTACAATTTCATGTACATTCCTAGGATGAAGGAGATGAGGAAAAGAGCAGTTTGATATGTGTGTGAGCTTAAAGCTGGTAGCCCCTGGAAATGGGAAAAGGGGTCTTTGTATGTTGTCTTCAATTTTTTTGCAAATGTCACTCTGTTCTGAGGAAATGTTTAGATGTTCCCTAGATATTTATTGTATATTTCTATCTCCTTGGCGTTTCAGATGGTTGCTATTTATTCTTCCTGGCTGTTAGCACTCTTGAAGTTGTAAGGGAAAGAAACCTAACTCTCATCTTGAGCAAAAAGGAAACCTTTAGGAAGGACACTGAGGTGTTATAAAACCATCAGAAGAATCTGCTGAGACCAGGAGGTATGAGCAGTTAATGCTGAATAGCCCCCAAATTTAGTGATTTGCATTAACCAGGTAAACCTAGTTGTTCTGATTAGGCTGCCTTTAAAGTCCCAGGAGGCCAGGCTCCTTCCTTCTTGTGTTCCCTCCAAATTCTAAGGCTTTTTCCCTCTGAATGCAAAGCTGGGGAAGATCCCCTCTGGAAAGTTTTAATGAGCAATAGGATGGGAGAGTTATCTTTCTTGTGTTCTCATTACAAAAACTATAATCAGTGTGTGGTTCCAGTGAACAGTAAAGGATGCTAAAAAAGAAAAAAAAAAAACATGTTTTGTTTGTCTAAGAAGGAAAAAAATGAGTTGGTTGGGCACCCAAACTACACTGGCCTCTCCAAATTGTCAAGATTCTGTTCCTTGCTTTTGTTTCTCTCTTGTGTGGCTGGAGTCACAGCCATTGATTTACCCTCTTTATTTCTAGACTTGCAGAAAATTGAGTGCAATTTAAGTTATCTTTCCAGTTCCTTTAAATTTCATTGTTGTCGTGACAAAAGGACTCTGATTGTGTTCTAGTAGAATATCTTAAAAGGTCTCACTATGTAGCTCTGGCTGTCCTGGAAGTCATTCTGCAGACCAGAGTGCCTCTGCATCAGACTGTGGTCCCACCTTAGCCTGGGACTAAGCATCTAATATGTGAAATTTAGGGTGACAGCATCTAAACCATAGCATTCACTTTTTACCCTACTATTATGAATCACCAGCTATGTGTCAGGCAGTCTGTTGGACATGAAGGAATAAGATGGGGTCCTTATCCTCTACGGACAGTCATGGGTAGTAAGTAGCGTTGCATGTGGAGAGACCATTCTGTAAAGAAATGAGCTGATGAAAGGTATAGTACCTACTATTTGTCTACAGAGGGCCTGGGCCTCCAAAGCAGGGGAAGGGCCAGTTGTGAATGGAAGAATAAGAATGGTTGCACCATGTTTAATGTTAAAATGATGAGATGAGGAAGACTCCTTTAAGTGGTAATATGGAATTATTTCCATAGATACCTGGTAACAATCACTAAGTAGTTTGCGGTATTCTCCAAAGCCTGTTTGAATCCCGTCAACTTTATGTTGACCTCCATGTTCAAGAGATATATGTGCCCCCTTTCTTGTACGGGCATTAATGACTCTTTTATGGAGATAAAGTGAGGAAATAGTCTGATTTATCTTAGAGTGGAGGCAATGTGTATTTTGAAAAACAAAACGTTATTCTGTTAAAAGGATTTTGTGTGTCTGTGGAGATGGCTTCATTCAGTTGGTTAAGTGTTTGCCAAACAGACATGAGATGAGGCCCCAACTTCATATCCCTAATACCCATATAAGAAGCTGGGCTTGGCTGTGTGCAGGCAATCTGAGTACTAGGGAGGCAGAGAGAGGCAAGGGGAACCCTGGGGCTTTCTGGTCCAAGTTCAATGGGAGACCCTCACCCAGTTAGGGTTTCAGTTGCTCTGATGAAACACCATGACCAAAAGCAAGTTGGGGAGGAAAGGGTTTATTTGGCTTATATTTCCACAATGTAGTCCCTTACTAAAGGAAGTTGGTATGGAACTCAAACAGGGTAGGAACATGGAGGCAGGAGCAAATGCAGACTGCGGGTTGTTTATTGTCTTGCTCCCTCTGCCTTGCTCAGCTTGCTGCTTTCTTTCTTTTTGTTTTATTATTTGTTTTTATTGATTGATTGATTTTTTTTTTTTGGAGACTGTTTTCTTTGTGTAGCCGTGGCTGCCCTGGAACTCACTCTGTAGACCAGGCCTGCCTCTACCACCTGAGTGTTGGGATTAAAGGTGTGAGTTAGCCCTTCTTACCTGACTCAGCCTGATTTCTTGCAGAACCCAGAATCTCCAGTTCAGGGATAGCACCACCCAGAATAGGCTGGGCCCTCCTATGTCAATCACTGGTTAAGAAAATCCTGTACAGACTTGCCTTATATTTTTTTCTATTCATTTTTATTTAAATTAGAAACAATCTTATTTTATATAACAATCCCAGTTCCCTCTCCCTCTCATCCTCCCGTTCCCTCTACAATCTCCCCATCACATCCCCATCCATTCCTCAGGGAGGGTGAGATTTCCCATAGGGGAATCATCAACGTCTGTCACTTCATTTGGGGCAGGTCCTAGGCCCTCCCCAGTGTATCTAGGCTGAGAGAGAGTATCCCTCCTGAAGCCCATTTGTGCACTAGGGATAAATACTGGTTTCACTACGATCAACCCCATAGATTTCCAAGCACCCCAACTGACACCACATTCAGGGGGCTTGGTTCTATCTTATGCAGGTTCACCAGCTGTCAGTCTGTAGTCTTTGACCTCCCCCTTGTTCAGGTCAGCTATTTCTGTGGGTTTCCCCAGCATGGTCTTGACCCCTTTGCTCATCATTCCACCCTCTCTACAACTGGATTCCAGGAGTTCAGCTTAGTGCTTAGCTGTGAATCTCTGCTTCTGCCTCCATCAGCTACTGGATGAAGGGTCTATAATGGCATTTAAGGTAGCCATCAATATTATTATAGGGGAAGGGCATTTAAGATAGCCTCTCCACTATTGCTTAGATTTTTTTAGGTGGGGTCATCTTGTGGGAGGAGAACATAAAGGATCAGGAAGGTCAAGTTGGGGGAAGAATAGAGAAGGAGAGCAAAGAAAGAGATACCTTAATAGAGGAAGCCTTATGGATCTTATGGATGTGTTTTTATTATTGAGGTTCCCTCCTCTCAGATTATTTTAGCTTATGTCAAGTTGGTGTAAAACTACCCAACACAAACTGTCTCAAACAGTAAGATGCAAAAACCAATTGAGGAAACCTCTGGCACACATGAACACAAACGTGTACATATACTCATAGACACATATGCATGAACATAAACATACACATACAAGGTTCTTTTTAACTAAGCCATTTTTTCCCTGGCTCCAATGAGTTCAGCAGATCACACACTCCAGCAGGCAGAAGGGAGGAGCAGCCAAAGAGGGCCATGTGCAGAACTCATGTGTGCTGTGTTGCAGCCATGGGGAATGCACTTCCAAGAATGTGTGGGTGACGCTATTTGGAATGAGATCAGGGATCAACAATAACTCCTCACTAAGCCAGAGCTGTAGGGTTCAGGGTGTGGGATCCTCATCCCTCAAGTAAGGATGTCAGATGAGGTTGGACTCATTTTATAAAAACCATAAAGAAAAGAAAAACGAAAAAGACTTTGGGAGAGAAAGATGTTTGATGGGGGGTTCAGAAAGAGGTCCTGAGACCGATCTTTGTGTTCTTGCTATTAGAACATGCTTACCTAATGAGTCAGAAACAAAAAGTATTCTCTCTTCTGACTTATGAGAGACTGGACAGGGTCACTGAGATAGCCAGGATTTTGTTTCCATATTTTCAGGCCAGCATGTCCAGAATAGGATACTTGGCAATGGTATTGGCTAGAGGAGAAAGGACAGGGTTAAGGCACGTGAATCTGCCTTATCTTTTGGGCACAGGGAGACCCTTGAGAGAGAAAAGACCTCTCTGGTCCTCTAGGTGAGCTCCTCGAGGAGTTTCTTTTTTAAGAGTACTTATAATTTTGTGTGTGTATGTGTATGTGTGTGCACTACATGCATGCCTGGTGCCTCCCATAGCCAGAAGAAGACGTTGGATCACCTGGAACAGAAGTTACAGATGGTTGTGAGCCACCATGTTAGTGTTGAGAATCAAACCCCTGGTTCTGTGGAAGAGCAGCCAGTGCTTTTAACCACTGAGCGCCAGCCTCTCCAGCCACACAAGGAGCTTCGTTAGAGGAGAGCAGACACGGAGGGGGTGAAGGGAGCATTCTAGAACAACTCTGTGATTACTAAATAGCAATTTGGCAGTGGTTTGTAGCTTATTGTACTTGGAGAAAGAGAAGCTTGCGCGAGGGTTTGGGGAAAGCACCCCCATCCCTCTTTAGGACCTGTGAATTTACAGATAGGGGAGAAAGACTAAGCTATTTTTTTGAATTCACCAAAATTTTATGCTGTGCAGTGATTTATCAGTGTGCCGAGGAGGCACATTAAAAGAATAATTGCTGGCTGTTTATTCTGGAAAACTGCATGTAGTTTGAGTAGGGACAGGGAGCTTTATTTCCTTTTACCTTGCTCACACTACTATTAGTGTTAATAGGATCATATATCCTAGGCTTCCCTTGGCTCGATGCCCTGACATAAATGGCTGAATTCTTGTTTTGGCATTATATATTCCTAACAACAGGGGGGAGTGGAAACAATGTTGTGAGCTATGTTATTTTATGTGCTTTGTTGTAGATAGGATTTATTCACTGTGGTCCATGGCTGTTAAGATGATCTGCTCAGATGATTGGTGTTCCTGTGAGCTTTGTTGTTTTTCTGAAGCGGGTTGTTCCTGGATGACTGCATGTATTTTTTATTTGGTGGAACAGGGTGAGTCTTGATCCTGGTTGTCTGAGCTCTGCTTCCTCACTGTTGTCTTGGTTATCCGTGAAGTCAATAGCTCTGTGGGTTTGTTCCTCTCATTTGACATCCCTGCAGGCCTTTATCGGGAATCTTTTGGTTCACATTGACCCAACTTACTGTTTTAGAGGGGGATTTAATTCTTGGGGTTGTTGCCTCAGAGACCATTTAGCCAATTAAACAAATAGCAGGATGGTGTCTCTAGCATCATTCTTACTCGGCAAGACTTGGCAATACTCCGCATGGAAGGTCAGAATCAGACTGATTTAAGGAAGCATGGTAGAGTTAGTATGCTAGTATGTCAGGGTTTTAACGGAACTTAGATGATTGAATCCAGGGCTCATCAAATGTTTTCTGTAAAAAGGCCAGACAGTACATATCATGGGCATTGGGGAACCACATATGATGTCCAATGTGTATGTGTTGTCTTTATACATTTTTGCAAATGTAAAATGTCATTCCAAGTGAGGTATGGAGGTTCAAGGCTCACAGCTGTAATTTGAGCCCTCATCAAATACATTTCTCTGTCTATTTTACCAATGAATGAGAAGATCCCTGCCTCCTCTTTCCCCAAGGTCACAGAGTTAGCTCTTAACAGAATGGGATTGTGGACTTATCATAAAGGAGCCTGTGTATATCTAGAGAGAATGTGACTCTTATTTGTTAAATTGTGTGTCTAACCCATATCCAAGTGCTCTGTTTAGAGTTGAGTATGCAAAATTAAGCACAAGCAGAACAAAACAACAACAAAAATCCCTCTCGGCTGTGGATCAGTAGTTGGCATTGCATGTGGGAAAGTGGCATGTAGATATGAGGAGTGAGTGTTGCACCCATGGGAGCTCTTGCCTGAATCCAGTCATTTACCTTCCTCTCACATTTAACTTTGAGACGTTCTCCTCAGCCCAAAGGAATGGGACAGATGCTTAGATTCCCTGGCAGCTGCTTGTTTCTTTCTTGGAAAATGCATTTCATATATGCATATAAAGCTAATGAGGTTAAAGGAACTAAAATGGAAACAGATTCAGGTAGCCATTGGAGAATAATGGTTTGACAGCTGCTTTTTAGTATCAGCTTATCTGAGCAGTGACATTGAGACATGTGATGCAAGTGAGATTGTGGAGTCTTCTGATATTGTAGACATTGATGAATTTTAGGATCACTAAGCTATCACCTCTCCTGTAGCAGATAAAAAGTACAAGGCTTAGGGGTGCTATGTACCTCATTTTGTAGAACTTCAGGGTCAGGACCATATATAATTAATAACAATAACCAAGACTTATCTAACGTTCACTGTAGCTTGCAGAGTAAAACACATTATCTATTTAAATTCCAACTAACTCAATGTGATTGGTGTGATTTTCCATTCCTGTATTATAGTTGAGGAAGTTAAATCTGAAGAGATTAAGTAAAAATTGCCAAAGATCATGTACCTGGTTGGTTAGTAGTGGAGTTGGGATTCAGGCTCAGGCCCAAGTGCTGCCTGTGCTTAGAGACATTTACTCCAACTTGGCTAAGTACTTGCATGGACTCTGCTTTTGCTTCTCTCTGTGAGTGGGACCATAGCTCCTTCATCTGTCTTTCTCATTCTGGTCTTCACATGTATGTGTAGGTAAGTGGACCAATAAGTCTATATTTCTTTCAGTGATTGATACTGGTGGTAACAAGGAAATAGGAACTCAGTGGCGTCAGACCTATGTCTAAGCCTTCTGGTTTCTGGTGTCTAGTCTTTTCATGAAGCAGAAAGGTTAGCATGTACACATAGGCCTAGAAAGCTGATGGTTGTGCCATTGTCTTTACCATGTTCCTGATATTTAGTTAGTTATGTATTTGTTTTGGTAAGATCTCACTCTGTAGACTAGACTGGCCTCAAACTTACAGGCCTCCTACTTTGGTTGCTGGAGTGCTAGGATGACAGGTGCACTGCTGTGTTCCATGCTCTCTGAACACTTAGAAAAGTTAATGTGCACAGTAGAATTCTACTGAGCATCAAAAGTTCCCTGAAGGCGTGACAGCCTGGCTGGTGCCTCTGAACTTGATGCAGTTTGTGTGGGCAGCAGGGAGGTTCTCTCTGCATGTGGTGGAGGATTTACCTTTTGCATAGCCATTTTAAAGCTGTCATTTCAAACTATATTCTGAGGCATCCTGGGGTTTGTGAGCCAGAGAACTAAGGAATTCTGCAAGAAAAAAAATCTGGCATGGATCCCCCCCCCCCCCCCGTGCCAAATAGTGCCTAAAACAACCTTGTAACATAATTTATTTAGTTCTGACAGATAGATGTAACCAGCTCATTAAATTCATAGAATCCTGCAGGGTCTTTCTTTTGTTCTTCCACTTCTTATGTAATTTGAATATTTTACTCATCTGGCAATGGCAAAATATCGTTAAAATACTTTTATTAGTTCTTTGAGAATTTCTTACAATGTATTTTGTGTGTTCATATTCATCCCCCCAGCTCTTTCTAGACCCAGCCACTGAATTTTGTGTGCCCTTTAAGAAAGAATTCAACAAGACTGATTTGTGTTAACCAAATATTCTTGGCTATGTGACCTTCTACTGGAACATGGTTGATTTACCAGTGGCTACACTCTTAGAGAAAACTGTCTTTCTTAGTCAGTGTTCTCTTGCTGTGAAAGAGACATCATGCCCATGGCAACACATAAAAGAAAGTATTAACTGAGGCCTGCTTGCATTCAGAGGTTTAGTCTGTTATCATTGCAAGAAGACATGGTGCTGGTGAAGCAGCTGAGAGTTCTACATCCAGATCAGTAGGCAGCAGGAAGAGAGACACTGGGCCTGGCTTGAGCTTTTGAAACTCCAAAGCCCCCCCCCCCCCCACCACCCAGTGACATACTTTTGTCAACAAGGCTACACCCACTCTAACAAGGCCACACCTCCTAATCCCTGTCAATTAGCACCACTCCCTACTGATGAAGCATTCAAATATATCAGTCTATGGGGTTTCCTATTCAAACCACCACACTCTCCCTTTGCCAGGAGCTAAAACTTGCCAACAGCTCCTTAGTTGGGTATGGGACTTCATGCCTAACTCCCCTTCATTGCTAGGATTTGGCCTGGCTTGGGATCACACAGGTTTTGTGCATGCTGCTCCAATCACTGTGAGTTCATATGTGCAGGTACCCTGTGGGGTTCAGAAAACCCCTTTTGCTTGTAGACATCCACCTCCTTTGGCTGTTACAGTCTTTCTGCTTCCTCTTCCAAAATGATCCCTGAACCTTGGGAGGAGTGGGTGCAATATATGTTCCATTAAGAACTGAGAATTCTGTAGTCTCACTTTGTGTGTGTGTGTGTTTTGTCCAGTTGTGGGTCTATGTGTTAACTAGTCTAACTCAAAGACTTTTCAAAATAGATTTCAGATGTTGTTTTAAAAACCATCCCCTATCTAGTTTACTGTTTTTAATGTAAAGAATCACAGACTTTGTTTGCTGTTCAGTGTAAGCAGAGGTTCTTGATATGGCATAATAAAACCAAGATCCTTCGATTTGAGTTCATAGTTCTGTATCGTTTGGATTTAGGCCCCTGGGTTTGTTCATATAAACCAATGTGTAGTATTAATAATTATTTCATATCACTTAGAGGATAACCCAAATTAAATAAAGGAAGCTTTATATTCCATTGGTAAGACTCTTCAGGAGCTTTAAGGGCAGAGGTGGATTGTGAGATGCTCTTCTCATTTGTAGGCATTTGAAAACTCTTTCAAAATGGAGAAATGTGTAAAAATAGAAAATATCTGTCTGTAACTACAGTACCGGGGATCTGAAGCCTTCTCCTGACCTCCTTGAGCACCAAGAATGCATGAGCTGCATGTAATTACATGCAGGGAAAACACTCATACACATAAAATAATAAAAGCTATCATTTATCTATTCATCTATCCGTCATCTTTCTGTAACTGTAATTGTTCCTCTCATCTTTCAGCAGCAATTGCTGTCTTCAGTAATAAAGGAATGGGCTAGGGTTGATTAGAAAGGATTATGGTCTGGTCCTGCTAGTGTTTCCTTGTTTTGGAAGTGAAGATTCAGTGTCACCATGGAGATAGCTGCACACTTTTATTCTGTTTGACTTTGTGTGTGTGCCCCTACGTATGTGGAGGCCAGAGGGGAGCAATGGGTGTCCTGCTCTATCACTCTGCCTTATTTCTTTGAGATAGGGCCTCTTACTGAATCTGGTGCTAAGTGGATGGCCAGCAAGCTTTGGTGAGCCTCCTGTTTGTGGCCTGCACTGTACAGGGTCACAGGTACCTGTGGCTATACTTGGCTTTCTACACAGTGCTGGACATTTGAATTCAGGTCTTTATGCTTGAGAAGCATCTCTGAGCCATCTACCCAGCCCTTTGCTTAAGTTCTTATTTAAATCTTTAAGTCTCAAGGCTGAAGAATAGCTTGGTGGTAGATAATTCCCAGCACACACAAAAACCCTATTAAAAAAACTTTTCTGAAAGCCGGGAGTTGGTGGCACATGTCTTTAATCCCAGCACTCAGGAAGCAGAGGCAGGCAGATCTCTGTGAGTTCAAGGCCAGCCTGATCTACAGAGCTAGTTCCAGGACAGTTTCCAAATCGATACAGAGAAACCCTGTCTCGAAAAACAAAAACAAAACAAAACAAACAACAACAACAACAAAATACTTTTCTGAAATGTAGCATTCACAGGGGCATTTGTGTTTCATGGTGGCATGTTGACAGCTTCCAGGAGTAATTCTGGGGATGAAACCAAGGTCACCAGGCTTGTACAGCAAGTGTGTTTACTCCTTAAGCCACCTCACTGGGCAATGAATTCTTTTTAATGCTAGTTTCTTGATGCTCTTTCTGACAGGAATTCAGTTTGTTTGTAATTACTTAACTATTCACCTATGTGTTCAAGAAATATCAACTAAATGTTTAGCCAGTAAATTGAGATATTGAATTCAATAGTTGGTTGCCCTCCCCAACTCAGTTTATTTACATAAGACTTG